ACCAACCAGGACTGGCGTGAGCTCGGAGACACACGGCACTTCAGTATGTGGGCGGCACTTGAGCTAGGGCCTCGCTCTGTCCTGGCATCCGACGCTGGCTGAGCCCTTGCCACGTATGGCCTCTGCACTGCCAGGCGATGAAGCCGGAGATGGAGGTGGACACTCGCCCTGGGCTGGGATCCTCACAGGTCGGGAGGGCGGGTCAGAAGGCTCGGCCTCAGGGACCTGTCCACGTTCTGCTCACTCTGCAGCGCCTGGCTCAGGGCTCCTTCTTCCCAGAAGCCCTGCCCACCTTCCTGCAGCCTCTATCTGGCTGTGCCCCTGTACCAGTCTGGCCTTAGGGGGCTCCCCTGGCACCACCTGCCCTTGGTGGGTGTGGGTAGCCTGTGGCACATGCCACTGCAGCTCCATCCTCCTTCCCAGCCCATCCCACCCTGGGTGAAGTTTTATCTTCACACCCAAAGGTGGTGTGACAGGGTTGGGCACCACCATCTCACAACTCAACTGGGGCCCTGTGCCCCTGGGGCAAGGCTAGAGGCAGCTCTGGAGTCACCTGGCCCTGCCCACTGACAGCACATCACCCCCTTCTCCTGCAGGGACTCCCCCCAGGGCCTGACATGAACACCCTCTGCAAACCATGACCCCACTGCAAGGGGGGGGTTCCCACTCCACACACGGGGACCACGGCCTTGAGAGAGGCTGACTCGCCACGGCACAGCTGAGAACAAACTCCCACGACATCCTGGCAAGAAGCCCTCCCCTCCTCACCGTCACCTCTCCAGCTGCCAGAGTAGCAGCCGTCCTGGTGGAAAGGCATCTGCCAATAGTTGCCTGCAAGGCCCACCCAGCTCTCTCCGGGGCCTGCTCAGCAGCGAGTCAGAGCCTTCTAGGAGGCTGGGGTTGGTCTGCACGTGCATTTACGTGAACAACGCAGAGCAGATGCCTCCCGCCTGTCAGAAGTCTCTGCAACTGGTGGGAGTCTCGCCAATGGCGGTGGGGAACCAGAGATCTGTATCAAGGCATGTCAGCTGCCTGGCAGCTGGACACAGTCCCCATGAAAGTCATTTCTTGGCTGTTTGCAAAAAGAAGGCTCCTGCTCAGACTGGCCCAAATATACTCAAAGCCCCAGAACAGACTTTACCCTGGGCCTTGGCTTCCTCACCACAGAAGGGGACCTGGGGGCCCCACCCTAGGAGGCTTCTCCACAGGTGGCGAGAGCGTCACCTCCCTGCCCAGGCCTCACGCAGCCCAGCATCACAATGGTTCCGGACAGCCACGTGCAAATACCTACTCACGCAGAACTGGTGCCCTCAGCTAAGAGCTTCACCACATGCTGCAGCCAGGCGAAGGGCCTGCCCTGTGCTGTGCTGGGAAATGGTGGCCCTGTGGCATGACCACGTGGCTAGGGAAGGCTCCACACGGACCCGCCCTGTCTCCCTGTCCACTCTCTCCACCTGAGCCCACTCCACAGGGCAAAGCCAGCTGGCCCAACCAGGGTCTCAAGCTTGAGATCTCACATAAAATACAGGTGACATCAGGTTTCAGCTCTTCCTGGAACCAGCATAAACCCTGGGGCAAGGGTGACCTGAAACCCCAACCTGGTGGCAGCTCCTGATGCCTCGCTGTGGCGGAGGCCCTCCAGGGCCCCTCTGCCTGGGGGGCAGAGATGGGCAGACAGCCCTGCTCTCAACAGGGTGGCCGGCCCAGGCAGGACCCGACGGAACACCAGAGCCCGTGGTTGTGCAGTGGCCAATGAGGGCCCAACCCCCTGCCCTGCCAGCTCCGAACTGTTCTGAGCCTCAGTTTCCCCACCTGTAGAACAGATATGTAAGAGTACCTCCCTCATGAGGTGGCTGAGGGCTGCAGTGGGACACACGGACAGCTCAGCCCCCACACCCAGGCACAGGGGACCGTGGGCAGCTGGCACTGCTGCAGACAGCACCGGGCGGCCACGGCTCCGACGCGAGACGCACTGCAGGGACACGGGCGAGGGCTGGCGTGGCAGAGGGGAGGGCAAAGGCGTCGAGCGAGGGGCCTGCAAAGGCCCAGAGGTGTGGAGATGCAGCCAGGGCCTGCTGGGAGTGGGTGGGGCTGGGGCTGGGGCTGCTCTGTCCCTCTCTGAGCCTCAGTTTCCCCAGCATAGGACAAGGTATCGGTCCTGTGGCGGTCTAGAGAGCTCATCTGCCTGTTGTGGAGAAGCCTGAGCGTTTGTTCCGTGGGAGCCGTGAACGAGCTCTCACACTGGAAGCAGAGCTGCGGGGCAGGGCTGTGGACATGAATGAGCCCATTCACCACGGACGAGCCACCCTGAGGCTGCCCGGACCATAGCTGGGCCACCAGGCCTGGGCTGGGCAACGGCATGCCAGGCTCTGAGGGCGCCGAGGGCAGTGCCCTGACTGAAGGGCCAAGGCAGAGGTTTCACACAGGGATGGGCTTCACGTCAACAACCTTCCCGAAGTGACAGCCAAGCCTCTGGCCAGGAATTGCCGAGTTTATTCCTCTTTTGGGTTCCAAGCTCATTCCAGGGAAGCAGGGAGGTGCAAGACCCTGCCTGCACCTACCCTCAGGCCAAAAGGGTGCTGGCAGGAGTGCCTGGGAGGCAGCTGGGAGTCTGGCTGTGCACGGTGGGCAGGCCTGGGACACGGGGAGGCAGTGCTGACCAGGGTAGTGGTGCTGGGGGCAAGGGACTGGCCAGCCTGGGGACGGGAACCTTGGCTCCGGACTGTGAGCCGAGTGCCAGGCTCCCCAGGACACACTCCCAGTGCCCTGCTCTGTGACTGGAGGCTTCTGGTCTGGAAGCAGGACCATGTCAACCTCAGGATAGCCACTGCCACCAGGGTCTGATAGGGAGCAGCGCTGTCACAAACAGGATTAAGTCTCAAGGGTCTTCTGTCGGGCCATCTGCCCTGTGGGGCCTGGCTGCTCTCCACAGCCCTGCCGGCTCCCTGAGGAAGAGGCCTGCAAGGCGCTGGCTGACCAGGATTCTGGACCTCATCCTACCACCAAAATGCAGTGGGACCCAGAGCGTGTCACTTCCTCCGCAGGCCACAGCCCCTGCTTCAGTAAAATAAGCCGCTCACGTACAATGGTCACTATGTTCTACTGCAGGGACCCAGGGGCCCCTGCAGTGGCCTGGTATCTGTGCCTCGGGCACTAGTCTGAGCCTTGCCACAGCGGCATTCCGTGCCTTTCTCCTCCTGGAGAGGCCTCTCCTGCTGCCTGCCTGCCGCAGGTCCTCCCACACCCGACGTAGATGGGGCAGGTGCCCCAAGCACTCAGGACTTTTCTGGGCCTCCCTTTGCGCCAGATGGGGCTGAGTCTGGAGCCCTTGCCTGGCCTGAGATTTGCAGCCACAAGCCCTGCCTAGTAGACAGCCAGCCGTGTCACAGGGCAGCCTCTCGGCTCTGCCACTGCCCACCCACTGCCCACGTGGGGGCGGTGGCAAGGGGAGGCAGAGGGGCAGGACAAGAACCAGCGGACAGCGAGGCCACTCCATGTCCCAGCAGCGGTGTGGCATGGGGATCATGCTCGCACTCATGGACGGCGCTCAGGCCTCCACAGGGGGCCCCAGCTACTGACGATCTGGAATCCCAATGTTATCCTGTCCCCTCACTGCAAGTGGCTCCCTGAGGGCAGAGCCCTGTGCTCAGCTCACCGGCACCTGGATGGAATCATAGCTGAGTCCATGTCAATAGGAGGACACATGTGGTCATGATCCAGCTGCCCACAAGAAGATGGCAGGCAGGGAGGCCACCGAGCTGCCCACTGTGTGGGTGCCATCCGTGGGTCCCTCCTAACACTGAGCTGCTGGAAGTCACTGGCAGCAGCTGCCACCAGGGCCGGCTGTTCCCTCCCTTTGCTGAGCTTAGCACCCAGACTCTCCCCAGACTCACTGCTGTTTCCACGACAACCAGGGAGGACGCCTCCACCCTCAGAGCCTCACACAGCAACACAGACCAATGGCAGTAGGAAACCGCTAATCCTCACGCTGGGGCAGGGGACCTTCCGCAGGGGCATGTGGGCCTGGCTGGCCAGACAAACACTGTCCACCGCCCATGTACTTGCGGTAGTGGGAGGCTTCTGAAAGTTGGGGTACCCCACTCTCCCTCAGTGCCCTGAAGGACAGTGCAGTGGGCAGGGAAGAGGGGAGGGAGGCCCTTCTGGTGACCTGCTCCTGGCTGGAGTGCCATGGGACTCTCAGGGAAGGGGAGGCATCCTTGTTACTGAAGGAGCATTGAATGGAGAGCCCCAGGGCATGTCTCGTCCTTGTCACCAATGTCTGTTAACCTCCAGAGTTGCCCTGATGGCTCTGGGCCTCAGCTTCCTCTTGGGTGCAGGGGCTGCCGTGATGCCCTCCAGCTCTGCTCGTTTCACACAAGCGGCTGCCAGGGCTCCCGCACTCACCAGGGAGAGGGTGCCACGATGGGGCTCCCCGCAACCTTCCCATTTTACAGATGTGTAAAGTGGGGCTCAGAGGGGTTACCTGGCACACTGCCCCTGCCTGAGGAGAGCCCCCGACAGTCTGAGCCACCCCCAGAAAACGGGGAGGTATTTGGGGACACAGCCAGTAGTCCGGGGTCACTTCCAGTCCAATCTAGTTAACACTTCCCCCTTCTTCCTCTTGCAAACCTAAATGCTTCCATGATGGGCGGGAGAATTGGATTAATGAAGCTAATGACTCAGTGAGCCCCTGCCTGCCCCTGGAGCAGTCTGCAGAGACAGCACAGAGGGGCAGTGCTGGCGGCAGGAGAAATGTAGGTATCCAGGAGGTGGGGGCTGCTGCCTGTCCAAGCCACGGTCACCCCCTCAGGGCACCCACTCCCCAACCCTGGCCCCAGTGCCCACCAACCCCTGCTGCTCCATGGTTCTGCAAGCCCTCAGGACGCTGAGGCTCAGCCAGGCCTGCGTGGAGGGCTCCGTTCTGGCTTGAACCACCTCAGCTCGTGGACCCACTCCCCTTCCCCCCTCCCCCCCAGTCCCCCCGCTCAGTGCTTGTGGCTCACAGCCTGCCTCGTCCTGTCTCCGGGGCCAGCCACAGGCTCCTCGCACGCAGGCCCTGGGCACCACTGCTCTCAGGGCCTCCTGGGCCTGAGGCCCACACTCAGCTTGGCGCCCACCCCTCCTCCGCCTGAACGCCTTTCTCACTTTAGTTTCATGACTCCTAAAAGCCCAGGAAGGAGCAGCAGCTGATCCCTTAGCAAGGCAGGACGCAGCCCTAAAGGGAGGGGGGCCAGAGCAAGGGCCCCTGGGAGGGCAGGCCCAGCCCAGCCTCTGTCCCCCCACAGGGCTGGCTCCCAGGGCTCTGTTGCCAGGCCCACCACGGGCACCTTACTTCTCCCTGACCTCTCCCCTGAGACCTGGGCCCTGGAAGCCATGAGACAGCAGTTATTTGGGGTGACTGTGAAATGAGTCACAACAGAAATGTGGTCAACAGGCAATAATGAGCTGGGGCCCAGTGCCCTCTACCAGCCAGGCACTGGCCCGGCCTCATGAAGACACTGCTCTTCCTAAGAGGACACACTGGACTTGTGCCATATGCAAGGCCGGCCTCTCTAGACACCTGGGGTACCCCTCCAGTGCCTTTCCTCTGGACCCCAGGTAGTCACTCAGAGACACCTCCTAAGCTCCTTTTGCACACAGAGCACTCTCCTGCCTGAAGGGACAGGAGTGAGGCGCAGCCCTGATGTCAGAGCACTGAGTCCACCAGAGGAGGGACACATGTGCCACCCTTCCAGCAGGCAGAGGACATAAACACCTAGGGTGGCCAGCAGCATGCCATGCCACCAAAGGTAGCTGGAGCCGACCTCTGCCAAGGGAGAAGGCACCCAGACCGCGCCCGTCAGGTGGGCGGCCGGGTCAGCATGCTTGGGGAGCTGGTCCCGGGACACAGCATGTGTAGGGCCCAGCACTGGGCCAGGAGGTCTGCATGGGTTCTGTCGTGTGACGGCACCTGGGACACTCTCCTTCCTGCTGCCACCGCGGTCATTGTCTCATCTCCCTCCTTCTGCTCTGTGACTGCCCCACCCACCCTGTGCAAGGCCTCCAGTGGCTTTTGTGGCAGGATCGCGGCCCCCCCACCCACCTCCTGCCCTCGCCACCCAAGGCCCTTGCTGTGCTGTCTTTCTGCATGGACTGCTCTTCTTCTGGGCTCACACAGCCGGTCAGCTTGCAGCCCCCCATCTGAAGCATCCCCCGTGTCAATCTTGAGCCTGTCTTTTGTTCACTGCACAGCTCTTAGCACCACCTGACTTCTGCCTGGGAGCACAGCTTTGTCTGTCTGGGGACTGCTCTCTCCAGCTCGGTGCGGATGACAGGCAGGGCAGGGCCACGGTGCGTGCTGCAGGCGTTTGCCGTGGCAGCCGTGAACAGGGGCCGGGTTGCCTGGCTGCTCCCTTCTTCCTGTGTGTCCTCCAGCGCAGGCGCAGCCCCCCTTGGATCTGCCCAGAGGGGCTGAGGGGGCAGGGCCCTTTGTGAAGAGCCTGAGGTGTGGCTGGGGGAGGTGATGGGCACCCACCAGAGGCTCAAGGGGGTAGGGTTGGGTCTCCCCACTCCCTAGCAGGCCTGGCCTTCCAGTGACAGCTGGCCTGTCCTTGTTCACTGCTGCCTTGTGGTTCAGTGGTCAGTCTGGAAGAGCAGACTGGAAAGGTGTTGATAGATAAGCAAGTGCTCCCTGGCTCTAAACGACCAGGAACTCTCTGAGCCTGCACTTTGGCGGAGGAAGCCTTGGCTTTTATCTTCCTGATTTAGCACCCTGGGGTCACTGCCCTGGGGTTCTGTGTCCCAAGGCCCCTGGCCCTGACCCACTGCTGTGCTCCCCCCCACCCCCCGGGGGCTTGTGTGATTCTTGGAGGGAACACTGCATGGGTCCTGCGCTGGCTGTGCCCCCACACCCCAGCTGTGACACCTGCAGACAGAGCCCTGAATGCACAGGACTCACCTGGCTAAAGTGGAGATTATGGCATCACAAAGGAAGATTAGCAACTTGGGGTGGCTGCACCCCGAGCCCCCAGACACTCCCAGGACTCAGGTTTTCATGGGGCAATTGACCTCTCCCCAGGGATGAGAGAGGGGGGCCAGGCCTCTCCCTTACTCACCTGATGCTCTGTCAGCTTTTCTCCCGGCTCCTACCCATCCCAGGCAGGAAGGAGGAGCCCCTTTTATGGAGTTCTCAGCCCTGCAGCACTCGGAGCACTGAGGCCAGCGACAGAAGGGGCTTCTCCGGGGTGGGAGCTGGGGAGGGGTGCATGGAAGTGAGAGCCTCTGCTGGCCTGTGCCCCCCCCCGCGACTGTGCCTTGCAGTGCTCATAGTAACAGCACAGGCCGGCCGCCACTTCAAACAGCAAGGGCTGTTTAAATAAGGTAACAGGCTGCTAAAGCTCAGGCTCTAATAGCTTGAAGCGTCTTGCTCTGAACCTGCCAGAAACAGCAGAGTGCTCTCTTCCTGCCACCCGCAGCACCTCAGCCTTGGGTCTCCTCGGCATGGAAGGGGCTGGGGTGAGCCTCAGCAACAGCAAGGGTGGCTGCCTCCCGGCCTGCCCAGCTCTCTGGGCAGTGGCCAGCCAAGGGTCCTCCTCAGGAGGCAGTGGAGGGACCTCTAGGTTGGGAAGGCCCTGGCTTTGCCACTGGGGCAACTTTTCTTAGAAGGAGTTTCCTCATCTGTGTGGTAGGGGACCCTCTGCCAGGCTGGGAGGCTTAAAGGTCACGCATGCCGTGCCCTGGCCAGGCTCTGTGCCACCTGCTCACGTTTGGGCCTCCCGTTGCCATCTCTTCTGTCGTCAGCCAGCACACACACAGCACTCCACAGCTCTGAGCCCACAGCGTTCTCTGAGAATCACTCTAATTCCTCAGGAGCCGGGGAGGGGGGGCCCAGGGCGGTGCTGTTGGGCTGCCCTGAACCTGGGCCGTCCAGACGGACTCTCCAAGGCCCCTGGGACCCTCCATGGCTCCCAGGTGCTGCTGTGACCATGTGTGTGGTATGGGGTGCCAGAGGCTTCATCCAGCCCCGAGTGCAGCAGCTGGCTCAGGCCATGAGGGGCCCTTTGGAGAAGCTGTCAGAAGTGCATGGAGGGGTCACAGTGCCAAGGACAAGGGCTTCCTGCCTTTCCTAAGCAGCTGCTCTAGGAGAGAAAACAGCTTCTGCATCCCTGGTCCAAGATCTGGTCACAACATGTACAAACAGTAGCTAACGGGTCACTTGGGGAGGCTTGTGCACAGCTTGGCCACTTCCAAGCCCTCACCAGCAGCAGGGACTGCCCCACTTGGGATGGCCCCAGACTGTGGACTCCTGGGCCATCTCATCCCCTTTCTAGGCCTCAGTGGCAACAGGCACCTGAGCCAACTGGTGGCTTTATGAGATGAAACCATCTAGAGAGGGATCAAGGCTTGGACTCGACCATCCCCAGGGCTGCTGGGTTTACACTGCAGGCTGCAACCTGTTGGTGGATTTTGTAAAAACCATTAAGTGGGTGGTGAGTAGCAATTACAAAACAGACGAGAAAGCAGAGTGGCCTCTCGCGGTGCTGTCCCTGTCATCGGCGCTGTCCCTGTCATCGGCGTGCCCTACACGGCTCCCGTCTAGCAGCTGATGGTGCTCGTCCTGACCAGCATGGCCCCAGCATCTCAGCCCTATTCACAGAGAGTTCCTGTGCCCACGCTCTTCGCTACAAGGATGATCTTGGCCTTCAGGTCATGCAGCTCAGGTGTCACTGCCTCCCAGATGGGCCCCTAAACACTTCACCCACCTCCACACCTGTCCTCACCCGCACCACCCCCGTGGATGTGGACATGTCTCCCCCCAGGACAGGGGGTGCTGGGGGAGAACACAAGACAGTTCAGGGTGATACTCAGGCCAGGTCCCAGGTGGGCAGGATACTCTAGGAAAAAGGACTATGATAAGCCAAGGGCAGAGCTGGCACTGAGTGATCTGAGATGGCCAGGGCACAAGGGCTGGATGTCAGGGACCGCCTCAGCAGCTGTGCCTGTGGACAGAGCACTGGGTGGGACCGTAGACACAGTGCAGGGACAGGGCAGGCCCAGAAGCCAGGCTGGGGTCACATAGTGTCTCCTGCAGCTCTACGGGGCAGGCACACAGGGAGTAGGGGGTCAATCAGCCCTCAGCCCCTGTGGGCTCCTCACTGTTGGGAAGAGGCCTCCTGCCCTCAGGGAGGCCTGGGGTGTCCCTGGAGGATATTGTCCTGTGCTAGGCCTGGTAGTTCCCCAGCATCCTTGCTCTGAGATGCCCAGGCCAGGACTATGGTCAGAGCTGGGCTACAAAAACCTGTATGCCAGGTTTGGGCATCAGAGGGGAGCATGATGGGCCCAGGCTTGGATGCCTGCCAGACGCTGTCCCATTTCCAATTCAGTGGGGGTCTCTGTCCCTCTGTGATGCCACATCCTGAGGGGCACTTGTAGCCTGGCCCGGCGCAGCCCAGGCTGGGCCTGGCGGAGGAGGCCTGCCCTGGTGCCCGGCCTGCTCTGTGGGGGACTGGCCTTGGCAGGCCTCACCCTGCACATGGGTTCAGCCCACTCGCTTGTCCCTTGGGGCTGTGGCAGTGTCTTATGAGAGGAACATGAAGTGGCTGGCAGGCCCTTAAGGGTCCCCACAGTCTTCCCAGTGACAGGTGAGGCTGCTGGGGCTGGGAGAGGTTTGCTGACAGGCTGAGCCCCTCAAAGTCTAAACTCTACGCTTGCACTCTCCTCTGTGACAGCAACACACCTGTAGCTTGGAGCCCCATGGGGGCCCATGTGCAACCACAGGTTAACAGCAGATACTGTCACAACCCTGTCTTTCTGTCCTGAGGCTCAAACTTGGTCATGACCACAGAGGGCAGATGAAAACGCCCACGCCAGGCTTTCTGCTTCTTCTACAAGCACTTTTTCTACCTTGAGTTGCGCCAGTCCAACTTTACAGCCGAGGAAGCAAAGGCTGGCGAGCTTGTCCAGGTGAAGGCCGAGCAGGGTTCAGGCATGCAGCTCACCCAGGACTGTGCCCTCTCACCTCCTGGGCCCCTCCCTCGGCAGACAAGGCTAAAGAGAAGCAGGACACAGGCCTGGGAGCCAGGCAGGCACTGAATTCAGGGTCATGTGGCATAGCCAGCCTCCCCTTTAACTTCTCTCCTGCTGGGCTGTGGGTGGGAAGCTACCTGAGAACCGGTTGCCTTGGTCGGCTGTGGCCACAGTGGTCTTTTCCCAGCTGGCTTCTTGGAGCCCTGGGACACAAGAGCCAGGCCTCTGGGGAACTATGAGTAGGTCACAGGTTTCCCACCAGTCGCTGCTTGAGGCTGGGTGGCCCTGCTGGTGGGGATTTGCCCGAGGTCACTCATTCAGCCGGGCTAAGCTGGGTCTCCTCAGTCAGGACACTGCTGGGCATCTCCTGAGGTCACTGCAGTCCAGGAAAAGGTGTGTGGGGCTGTGGTGGATGGGCCTCAGCTGGGAGCCTCAGGACATGCAGCCCAGGGCCCCCAGCTGACTGTGGTTTCATTACTAATGAAATGAGAGAGAGCACATGAGCCAAGGGGAGGTCCCCACAGTGCGACGCAGAAGGATTAGGGTGAGCTGCAGCCCAGGCTCCTAGGCCAGCCTGACGTCCTCGGTGCTGTCGGGAGTCAGCGCCTTTCCCCCATCCTGGCCAGCACCGGCTGCTCCCCCAGCTGACTGTCCTTCCAGTCCTTCTACAAACTCTAGACCGTGGGAGCCAGGGGGCCCCAGGAGCCCTGCAGATGGGTGAGCGGGGGGTGGGGGGGGCGTGCGTGCGTTGGCACACCGGCGTCGCTGCGCCACAAGTGACCCTGGTGCGGCCCCGCCCTCACTATGCTCGTGTTGTTCGGGGCCAGTTGTGGGACTCCCCTGGGTGGCAAAGCCCCCCCATCTACGCCAGTCACCAGGAGCCCCCAAGTTGGTGAGGCCCTCAGTGCTCTCAGCCTCCACCCTGGAGCCTGTTCTAGATAAGTGGAAAATTGTTTTTCAATTCTTGGATTACACAAATCCCTTAAAACAATAATAATCTGTGTCCTAAAACTCAGAGCTGTTCTCATGTGTGCGTAACAAGCAAAGCTAATGCGCTCAGGAAATTAATTACCCAGTGGCCGGGGCAGGCTGAGCGGATGTGGGGCGGGAAGCAGCTCCGCCCTGAAGCTCTTGGTACAAGTCAGAGAGGGGCGTTGTCTCGAGCATCCAGTGTGATCCCCATGGCACAGCAGGAGGTATGGGGGCTGAGGAGCGACAGAGACCGAGGCTGAACCCCAGCTCCGCCACCACAGGGGTCCAGGCAGCACCAGGCCATGCTGGGGAGTGGACATGGCCTTGCCCTGCCTGGTGTGACCTTGCACTCACCTCTGCTGCAGGGTATTAGGTGCTCCATGCAGGGAGGGTACTGCGTGTGGTACTCTGCCTCCATCGTCCCCCAAACCGTCCCCTTGGTCCTGCCTCTGCTGACTGTCCCCCCGTCCGCCCTGACTGGAATCTGCAAGGACCACATCAGACACTACTCTCACCTTCACCCCGATCCATCTACGCCTGCTCTGGCTGTCTAGGGCCCCTTTCTCTCCTGCACGTTGGTCTCTGGGATAGCGGGAGGCCCTCCTGGCTTCTCTGGACCTGGACAGCTGCTTCACAAGGCCAGCAAGGGGCCAGTATTAGTGGTAGCAGGGGAGCCAGCTGAGGCCCTCCTTGGCCACTTAGAGGCTCTAGGGGCTGCTGGATGCCATGCTCAGCTGTTCATTTCTCAGGGGAGGAAGGGACAAGACCATCTCTGTCCCCACACTATGAGCTCACTGGGCCCAGGGCCTGTGCATACTAGGTGTGCAAGGACTGCTTCCTGGACGTCACAGGGCTTATCCTCTCACAGGTGGAGAACACAGCGTGGCCCTGGCCTAAGCAGGAGTCTCCTGTTAGCCAATGAGAGACAGCAGAACTCCCAGCTCAGCCTGCTTTTCTGTGCAGTGGGATCTCTTAAATCTGCCCAGGGAGAGCGGGAGGGAAGGCCAGGACGAGTGTGGAGCCACTCCAGCACATTCCCTTTCTCTGATGGGATAAACACATGTGGTCACAGGGCCAGAGCTAGGAACCACAGAGGAAGACTGAGAGACAAGGACACTGGCTCTTCAAAAAGACATCTACAGGCCGGGCGCGGTGGCTCACGCCTGTAATCCTAGCACTCTGGGAGGCCGAGGCGGGCGGATTGCTCGAGGTCAGGAGTTCAAAACCAGACTGAGCAAGAGCGAGACCCCGTCTCTACTATAAATAGAAAGAAATTAATTGGCCAACTAATATATATAGAAAAAATTAGCCGGGCATGGTGGTGCATGCCTGTAGTCCCAGCTACTCGGGAGGCTGAGGCAGGAGGATCGCCTGAGCCCAGGAGTTTGAGGTTGCTGTGAGCAAGGCTGACGCCACGGCACTCACTCTAGCCTGGGCAACAAAGTGAGACTCTGTCTCAAAAAAAAAAAAAAAAAAGACATCTACAGTGACTCCTCCTGCGCAGGATCTGCCAGCCCGGCCTTGGGAGTCACTGGCTGTGCATGCTGGCAAGCGTTTAACAACCGGCCTGGAGGTGGGGCTGGAGGAGTAGAACTGACTTGTAGCATCTGCCAATTTCTGGAGTATAATTACTCCCACCTGGCTGATTTGAAGCCACGAATATGATGTCAAACAGCTCATAAATGTCCTAAAAATGGAAAAATTGGCTTTCATGAGCCAGTACGGGCCAGCTCTAGCCCCTAGCCCTGGGCCTCAGCACCCTCCTATGCAGGGGAGGCCAGTGCTTCCCAGCCCAGAGAACTCACTTGTTCTCCCTGCTCCCAGCTCATCGGCACTAGGGCAAGGGACTGATGCCAACCTGCCTATAATGGAGGACCCCCACCAGAGCCCAAGCTGGCTGACCTGTCCGGGTGGGGTCACTAGGTCCAACAGAGATCTGAGGAACACCATGGACATCCCAGCAGATTCTGCCAAGGCATCTGGCAATGCTGTCATGGTGGAAAAGACAGAGCAGAGGGGCTGGTGTCCTGGCTGCTGCCCAGCTATGCTCAGTGACAGTCTGTGCTCAGAAGGTGGCCTCTAGTGACACAGCAGGTGGTGACCACCATGGAGGGATGGCTAGTGCACTGAATGACAGAGCCAGGCTCTACAAGGATGAGGTGGGTGCTAGATGCAAAGCCCACACAAGAGGAGCTGGTGTGAGGACAGAGCAGGGCCTGAGCCCAGCGTGCCCTGCCTCTTCCTGCCTCATGGTTCACATCTGACCAAGGACCACCCAGGGCCAGGAGCCACAGCATAAAGGAGGCTAAGAAATGGCCCTGCTCTTAGAAGCTCCCAGCATGACAGAGAAGGAGGGACCCAAGCTGCTGTTGACAGAGGCCTCCGTGGCTATGTCCCCTGGGGAGCAGAGGGAGGGAGGTCCCAATCCAAGGACCTGAAGTGCCCACAAGGGCTTCAGATAGGTGCCGGGATGCTGCCTCTTCTAGCCCTCCCTGGCCCTCCCTCTGCCAATCCCGGGCTGGAGCCAGCACCCCCAGGGGCTCATGGGAAGCCCTGGGTGAGCAGACACATCCATCATTTGCTGAGTGGGGATGATAGGCTCAGAGTGGCCTAAGGCCCCCAAGGTGAGCAGCAGATGGCCACAGCCCCAGTTAAGACTGAGATGAGTGCTGGACAATGGAGCCAGACACCCAGGGACAGTGACCAGGGAGTCTGCACCGAAGGCAGGGAGGGGCTGTTCCCAAGGGCTCATGGCGCCTCCAGGCCAATGGTGGTCCAGCTGTGGGTGCATGTCAGGAAGAACAACAAACTTTGCAGGGGTGCCAGCTGGGGAGATCGGGTTGTGCAGTTGGCGAGTCCTGCTCCCAGCTCTGTGCCTGCTCTGGGAAGTGCCGGCCCTGCCTCTGCCTCTGCCTCTGGTCAGGTCTCTGCTGCTCCAGGGTCATGACGACTTGCAGGTGTGTCACAGACAAACTGCATGTGTCCTTGGCACATGGTGGGATTAGGAAGAACTGCTTGGGAGACTAGCATGTGGGGAAGGAAGGGCAGCGGGCTCCTGGCAGGTCAGTAGCAGGCCTCTCTGGCACGATTCTCAGCATTGGACACTCTCCTGGAGCTCTGCTCTCATCCGGGTCAGGAGCAGGAGGCAATGGGGTGCATTCTGCTGGGGATCCCGCAGTCCTACCACACCTAGGCCAGGGAGGTGCGGGAGGGGGCAGTGCACTTACCCGAAGGGAGGTTGGCTACATAGCAGCCCCCGGGGTGGAACCCAGTCTAGCTCCCCAGCCCTCCCTAGAGCAGCACTGCACCCATGGGATGTGGGGCTGGTAGGGTGCAGAGGAGACTGCTAGAATCCCTGGGGGCCAGGGCCAGAGACTCAGCCCTGCCATACGTGAGGGAACCTCTCTGAACCTGTTTCCTAATTTGCAAAGCTGGCTGGCCGGCTGAGGGCACTAACGGACAGGCAAGGCGCCTTCTGAATGTGAGTCCCAGTGTGCTGGGGAGGGTGTTATCCACAGCCGGCCACTTCCCATGTGCAATTCCTTCTGGACAAACACAACCGGCTGTTATCAACAGTTGAAAGCCTACCTTAACTGCAAACACCTTGTATTACCCTTAACATGCCACTTTATGACACAACTATTTAAACTTGATTTTTCTTTTTTAAAGAAATAACATCTCACTTTGTCACCCAGGCTGGAGTGCAGTGGCATTGTCGTAGTGCACAGCAACCTCAAACTCTTGGGCTCAGGTCATCCTCCTGCCTCAGCCTCCTGAGTAGCTGGGACTACAGGCTAATGCCACCACGTCCAGCTAATTTTTAAATTTTTTGCAGAGATAGGTTCTCACTGTGTTGCTCAGGCTGGTCTCCAACTCCTGAGCTCAAGCAATCCTCCTACCTTGGCCTCCCAAAGTGCTAGGAACCACCATGCCTAAGCTCCATTTTAAAACACTAAAACAAGCTCCCTTTTAGGGCTAAATGACAAAGCACGGTGCTAGGGTGGCAAGTCCATGGTGTGTTTGCAGGAGAGCCTCAGGCAGTCCGCTCCTCAGGGCACACTGCGCATACCTCTGTTAGGGATTTGCACCCATGGGGTCACCCCCAGAAGGTCTGAGTGTCCCAGCAGCTCTGCACCCAAAAGCCAGGGTCCTGGAATTCCTGCTCTTCCCAAGCCTCCCCACCTCCCGCCCACTCCACAGGGTCCACTGAGCTCCTACCGTGCACCAGGCCCTCTGCCCAGAGCACAGGCCACGCAGGTGGTATGGGCCTGCCCTCATGGTGTGTTGGGGCTGCTGACCTGCCTAGGGGTGGGGAGGGGCTCCTTGGGGAGCCAAAGGCCCCTGGACAAGGGGCCACTGGCCATGGCTAGGCAGAGGCTACCTGCCTGGAGACCAGCACCTACAGAACGTGTCCCCTGCCTAAAGTCATGTCCTTGTGTCCCATTGTCCCCTGGGAGACCCTCCCTGACACATGTTGATTAGCTGTCTCTTGGATACATGGCAGGGACTCCAGGTCTCCCACGGTGAGCTTTGTGGAAGCCCAGCCGGCCTGTGGGGCCCAAGTGGCCACTGAGGTTTCTAGATGAAAGCAGAATGGGGACGCCCCTCGTACCAGCTGCATGCCAACTCTGGAAAGAGGGGCACTGGCAGCACAAGGGTTTGTAGAAATGAAGCTGTGGCTATGCTGGTGTGACTGTCTCCCTATCCCTGACTCCTTGTGCCACCAAGAGAGTCGGGCTCACCCTCACGCCTGGCTCCCAGCCTGGGCCTTGTGTCTGCACAGCGGGTGCACAGCAGGTACACCATGGCCCGCCACAGGGCTGGGAGTGCTGACAGCTCCATCGGGAACTGGGCGGCGAGCTCCCTGCGGGCTTCCACATGAAACATTCGACACTTTACAGCTAGCCCTTCCAATCTGGTCCTCCTGAAGAGTCCCTTGCTATCCGGCAGCCGATCCGCAGGGGAGGAGGTGGGCAGGTGCCTGCCTCCCCGCACTGCCCCAAGGCTCCCTGCAAAGGTGCTCAGGGTCCCCTGATTCCTGAGGTGCCTAAAGTGGGGGAATGAGGACCCGTGTCCCTCCAGTCACAGCCACCTGAGTTTATCCCTCCATGTGGGCCAGTGGGAGCTGGCTTCTCCACCCTTTTCCACAGTCCTCCTGAGGCCACAGAGTGACCATCGCTGTCAACTGACCCTTGTGTGAATGCAAAGAGGAGGGACAGAGCCCCTGCCAGGTGAGGGCACACAGCCTCTCAGGCTGTCCTCGTGCAGGGACTCGGTTGGGCTGGGTAGTCAGCCAGTCCCATCTCTATACCTGAGCCTCGGCGTCGCCACCTCGACAGAGATAACGGCCAGTGCTGCTGCCTCACAGGATGAGTCAGGGGACGGGTGCTTAAGAAAAATCCCCACATGTGACCGGGCTGTGTTCAGGCCTCCGTGGCTGTCTGGGGGAGCCCCGTGGAGGTGTTGGGCTCTAGAGCATCCGGGTGCCTGCCAGGACTGCAGGGTGGCTCCACGGTCAGGCTGAGGACCCACCAGATCCTTCTGGACTAGGGTGGGAAATGCAGCCAGGGATGGGTGTGGCTCCTCGGGTTGGCTGGCTGCCCCGGCCCTCCCCTGGAAGCCCCAGGATCTACCTCCCCTCCCCTCCCCTCCACTCACAGTGCTGCCCTGTGCTCACTTCAGCCCTCACTCCCGGGAGCCCAGAAATGCTGACGTTCTCCTTGGCAACATGCTGACGCAGAAGCCAGCAGGTGGGCTGGGGGGCTGTGGCTCCTTCGCCAGGAGTGGGGGCAGGGAGGCACTGCCAGCCTCCATCAGGGAAGACGAGGCCTTGGGAGCACAGAAAGGGACGAGAGCTCTGGAGGGGCCACATCCAGAGTTGTGGTGTTGGCCTCAAGGTTCATTCGGCTTTTGCAAAAACCAGCATGGCCTGTTTTTGGCTGATTTGCCTTTGACAGGGCCCAAGGAGGACAGTTCAGGGCATTCTAAAAGGAGAAGGCAGAGGGTGGCAGCTCCGTGCTGGCCCTGGCCCGGCTGGAGGGAGGGCCGGGCACAGAGGAGGTAAGCTGTCCTCACTGCTGGCACCACTCCGGGGCCAGCCCAGCCGGTGGGAGGGATCAGAATCATGGGAGGGTATTGTCTTTCCTCGTAGCCTGTTTGTTTTCCATCCTCAAATATTACTGGTAGAGCATAAAAGGTCAGAATCATTTAGAATCTAGTGAATTTCCAGCCTCACTTGGGTTTCTCATCAAGAATTTCCTTTTCTGGTGGGAACAATCACTTCCCCAGGCCTGCAGAGACCAGGGTGATGGTGGTGGGGGTGCCCGCCTGGCTGTGAGCCTTTCCCTTTGGAAAATGCCCTGAACGCCCAGAGCCTCACAGAGATCCCCACAGCCAGGCCACTGGCTGCTGTCCCTGCCCAGGGCTGCCCACTGTGGCTCCCCACAGAGACAGGCCAGGAGAGGGGAGCCCCAAGATACAAAGACCACAGGCACCCAGCCCATCAGGGCCCATGCAGGTACAGGGATAGAGACAGGGAAGGCCTCCTTGGAAGGTGTCATTTGGAATGAGACCTGAAGGGGCAGGGGACAGGATGGTCACAAGCTGAAGGCAGGACAGAGCAGCACCATGGGAGCAAAGCAAGCTAACCACAGCTGAAGCAGAGAGAGGATAGAGGCAGCAAGGTAGTGGGCACTGGCCAGACAGAGCCTGGAAGGCCACCTGGAGGACACCTGGTACATTTCCTCATTGACAGGTTCAGAGAGCAGAGGTGATAGCCAAAGCCCTACATGAAACATGGGGCCAATCCAGGGCCCAGGTGTCCTACCTCCTGGGTCCTGGCACACCTGTGGGCACAGACTGCAAAAGGGCCAGGGAGCCAGACCTAGCACCGAGGGAATTTGCCATGCCTGCCCTGGAGTTGACAGATGAGGCAGCCACCAGATCCGAACCGGGAAGGCTTCAGGGCACCGCAGCAGCAATGGGCAGAAGCCCAGGGCACCGACTGCCCGAGCTCATGTGACTGGCAGCTGCAGAGTGGCTAACAGATCTGCATGGCCTGTCCCTGGAGCCTGGTCTGGGCACCTCACTTTGTCTCAAAGCTAGTCAGCCCCAAGCCCTCTGGTCACAACAATGCCTCCCCAGGGGAGCCCGAGCTTGTCTGCTGCAACATCTCCTCCACCCAGAACCACACATGGTGCTGAAGTGGGGCAGACGGAGGGTAAGAGGGACCAGAATCCTGGAGAATGCTGGCAGACACAGCGCTGGGAGCAGGTGGACTGCAGCTAGGCTGCAGGCGTGCCCCACCCCCCTGACGCAGCGTCTGCATGCAGCCATGCCCCGTCCCTCCTGCCAGCCACACCGTCAACACCTATGCACAGTTCTGGGAAGGCCCCCTTGCATGGAGGGGAGAGGGGTGAGCCCTGCCTCCAAGGCCACCTGATGAAGGCTACAGATCCTCTCTGCCCAGAACATGCAGGCTCCTGGCACTGGGGCCACAGTTAGACCCCAGGAATGAAGCCTGCCTTAGCACCGGGTGCAGGAAGGAGTGACCCCAGATGCCAATGCTGCAGGGCGTGGCTGGGCCCTTATCTCCCAGCACGATGGAGGCTCCATGTTTGGAGGGTCACCCATGAGCAGCCTTGCCTCCCCTGAGCCCTGGAGTACCCACCGCCCCACTCCCTGTTTCTCAGGGCACTCTGTTTTGTCCCCATTTTGTCCACCCTCAGGGTCAAAGGCCTCTCTCTTTAGGGCAGATCCAAGGTCTTTGTTCAGGGCTTCTGCCTGGCACAAAACTGCTGCACAGGACAGCCGCTCCACCACAGCTTGTCCACCACAGCCTCCACTGCCACCGCTCCTGGCCCTTGCCACCCTCTGTGCGCTGGGCCTGGGCATGCCGCCCACCCTCTCTAGCAACTCCCGTCAAAGCCCCACTAACTCGGCACTGGGCCAGGTCCCCCTCAGTCAGTGCCCACCCCACCTCGTGCCTGAGCCCTTATCCCTACCCAAGAGTCCTCAGCCTGGGCCAAGGGCTCAGAGGAATCCTGACACCTACCCTAGGCCAACACTCAGTACTGAGTTCCCAGCACCAGGACCCCAAGCCCAGGTCCTGCACCCTTGGGATTACGCATTCCAAACAGTTCTTAACCCCATTACCACCAGACTCTTGGGAGCAAGATGGGGGCACAGGGTGGCTGCCGTTCCCAGGTCCTACACGCTGGCAGGAGACCGGTGCTGGCAGGAGCTTCGTGGATTTCCTGAGCTGCCACGCAGACTGACAATGGGTGCCTGGCCAGGCCTCGTCCTCTCTGGCCCTGTGGCCTCCACACCCTGCATGCTTCAGGCATGGGATGTTGTCTGTTCACTGCACTGAGGTGGAGATGACTTAGGCACGCCCTGGGCACCAGAGGCCCACAAGCGCCATGAGAGCAGTGCTATCTGCAACCAGGGGAAGGCAGCCATAGCCGATCCTTGTCCCTCATAGTGAGCTGGGCCTCCTCTGTGGAGCCCAGGGGTGTTGTGGTCACTTGGAGGGTGTTGGAGCTCCAAGGGTGTTGGAGCTCCAAGGGCATGGTCACCTAGGTTGGAGGAGGGCCCCAGGCCAGGGAAGCCATGAAGTCTCACAGGGAACCTTTGTGGGCCAGCATGGCCCTGCCCACCAGGAACCCCTCTATCCTAGCAGTAGGTAGGACCCTGGTCTCTTGGTGTCTGTTACCACCTACATATTCCACACTCTGCTCTCTGAGCATAGCTTGAGGATGGGCCCACCCACCTTGCCGGAGCTACACTGGGACATCTCCACTCAGAACCACACATGGTGCTGATAGGTTCAGAGAGCCCAAAGCCCTCAATGAAACATGGGACCAACCCTCCCAGGTCCTAGCACACCTGTGGGCACAGTCTGCCAAAGGATGGGCTGGGAACCCAGGCCCGGTGTCGAGGGAATTCACGCCTGCCCCAGAGTTGAGAGATGAAGCAGCCCCTAGATCCGGGCCAGGAAGGCCTCAGAGCACAGCAGCAGAAATGGGCAGAAGCCCAGAGCGCCGACTGCTCAAGCTCATGTGACTGGCCACTGCAGGATGGCTGGCAGACCCACATGGACCGTCCCTGGGGCACCTCACTTTGCCTTGAAGCCTGGTCAACCCCAAGCCCTCTGCCCACAGTGATGCCTCCTCCAGGGAGCCCAAGCTCACCGGTCATCACACAGCAGGGCCAGCCTCTCCTCACCCCCACAAGTTCACCTGCATCCAGGAGCCCACGACAGCAGGGGCAGGCAGAGGAGAACCCAGGCCCTACTCACCGTCTGGTTATCCTCGTAGAGCTTCAGATCGTAGCCACTGAGCTCCACACAGAAGATGATGGCTGTGACGCCCTCGAAGCAGTGGATCCACTTTTTGCGCTCCGACCTCTGCCCACCCACGTCCACCATCTTGAAGGTGAGCTCCTTGAAGGTGAACTTGTTCTCCACAATGCCCGTGGTCATGTCCCGGGAGCGCAGGATGTCCTCGACGGTGGGGATGTAGTCGGGCGCGGCGATGCGCTCCAGGTCGTTCAGGTAGTAGGCCGCGTTGTCCTCCAGGTGGTACTCGCTGGAGCGGCTGAAGCAGGCCTGGGCCCCAGCGTCGGCCCACAGCCGCCGCATGACGCCCAGCAGCTCCGGTGTGATCTCGCCCTTGCTCTCGGCAGGGCCCGTCAGCGCGAAGAGCTGCACGGCGTCGTAGGCGCGGTCAGGGTTGTGGAAGTCGATCCTGAGGGCAGCCAGGGCCCGGATGATGCGTGTCAGCGAGTCGATGGCGTTGTAGATGATGAGCGGCTTGTACTCCTTGCAAGCCTCCAGGTTGAAGCCGCCGCTGTGGATGATCTTCATCTGCTTGACGATGGTGCTCTTGCCCGAGTTGCTGGTGCCCAGCAGGAGCAGCTTGATCTCGCGGCGCTGCCGCTGGCTCTCTGAGCGCAGGTGGCGGTCAATTCTCCGGGACCGCCGCGCTGCCTCTTTCTCCTCTGAGCTTTGCCGACATCCCATGGTCCGGCAGCGGCGGGCCCAGATGCAGAGCACGGGACGGGGGCCTCTCCCTCTTGCCTGCTCTGCCTGGCCTCTGGGTGGGACGGCCGCGGTGGGGGACACCAAACTGCGGCTGGTGCACCCCACAGATGAGAGCCCAGCCTGGAAATGCTCAGTGCTGGCAGCGGGGTGAGGCCAAGCCACACGGCAGCCCCTGCCCCAGCACCTCTGCTGCGGCCGGCATGGTGCTCTGTGCAGCAGGACGTGGCCGCCCCTCCCCTCTAGTGACACTCCACCTCCCTTGCTGGCAGTGTGGCCCGATTCGCCGCAGTCATTCCCTGTGCTCAGCCGACGACAGTAGGAAGCCGTCTGCTTGTGTCTGCCTAGGCTGCTGCCGTCTGGTTGCTTGCTGGTTGCTGTGGCGATGCTGCTAAGCACGGCTGGAGGGCCGGTCCCCGGTGCCGGGTGTGCTCCCTGCGGCCCCCCTGCCTTCGACTGCTCCAGCTCCCGCAGCACATCCAGCCCCTTACCTGCCAAACAGAGAACAGTGTGAGTCTCCTGCCAGCAGCCCCACCTCAGGCTGGGTGGGGAAAGCAGAGTGGCCACAGCTGGCCTCGGAAAACAGCTGGAATGATCCATCAGATCCCCTCTTGACAGAGCGCTACAGGGGCAGTGTCCAAACTGCAGTGTGACAAGCACACCTGCTGCCACCTGGCTGGTCCACCTGCAGCCAGGTGCACGGGACAGGAGAGCAGTGAGGCCTCCACTGGCCCTCCCTGCCCACCAGCCCAGCTGGCCTCACCCTCCCTTAGCCTCAGTCTCCATGTCTGGCTAGGATTCAATGAGGTGACCCCACTGTGGCGGCCCTTGGGACCCTCTTCTCAGAGGGTGCTGATGGAGCTCACCCTGTTTTACAGCAGGGTCTTGGCCTTGGCCCTGCCCAAAGGAGGCCCAGAATAACGAGATATCTCCCCAACTTGCCACGACTGCAAGAGCTGGGGTCCCAAGGCTCTCATAGGGCAGGACGTGCACCAGGAGGGAGGCCTGGCCCTACTTTCCCTCGAGGCCCCAGGGGCAAGCAGGCAGGCAGGGGCCAGAGCATGGTGGAGGCTGTGGGCTGTGGGAGTGCAGGCGGCGTAGCTGGGGAGCAGGGGCCCGCAGGGCCTGGCTGGCACAGAGCACTGTGGTGATGTCCACCTGGGAAGGCAGGCGAGGGATAGGGTGGAGCGGCGCCTAAGGGCAGCGGTCATCACTGAGTCTAGGGTGAGGCAGGGTGGTCCAGAGGCCTCCCCAGCTCCAGGCTGAATCTTCCACCGACCGACCCACCTGGTCATCGGGAGGAACAGCTGTGTGTACCCCAGGGCAGGGCCCAGCACCCACGCTCCCCGGCCGCCTCTGACCACACCCCAGGATGCCCCTGTGACCTTCTATGTGGTGAGGCAGAACCCTGCACCAGGGCAACCCCAAAGCTCAGGCTTCTGCCCCTGACTGAGCCCATGTGGCAGCTGTCCCCACCCTACTCACAGGCACATCCCCTCTGTTCCTTCCTCCAACCTCTGTCCCCGCCTGGCAGCTCCCACAGCCTCCCCGTCCCAGCACGGCCAGTGTTCACCCCTGACGCCCCCATCACCTCCATGGCAGGCCCTGGGTGGGAAGGCCCAAGGCAGACAGACCCCGAGGAGCCTAGGCCTCCCCCGTTTCCACTCCTGGGCATGACCAGCATCTGTAACTCAACCTGCCCAACCAGCCTGTTCCAGTGTCCTCATGCGCCCAGCTGTCATCCATGCCCCTCACTGCCCCTACCCCGCACACACCTTGGCCACACAGCCCAGCGATCGCGTCCTCTCCCAGCACCAGTGGCCTCCTGCAGCCACCCGCTCCCCACACCCACCAGCAGCCTCTGAGCCGAGGACTCCATGAGCAGCTCTGAGGCCGCCTCTCCCCCTCGGTCAAAGCCCAGCGTCCCCCACAGCGCCCAGGGAGGTCAGCCTCATCCCTCCACGTCATTGCCCGTCTCAGAGCCCGTCCCTCACCAGCCCATATGGAGTAAAGCGTCTAGCATGGGTTTTGTACTCGGCAAGTGCCAGGCTGTGGCAGTCACTGCCCCACTGTCCTCGTCACTGTGTCACCCCAGTGCCTCTGCTGGCCGCCTCCAGCGCAGCCCTCAGCCACTGTGCGACCTTGTCCACCCGACCAGAGTGCCAGTGGAGGAGGGCGGGGCCCGCTGGGAGCAGAGCAGTTTCCTGGCACACAGCGGGCGCTCAGTAAGCGCTGGTGGTGGAAGGGACCGGACTCAGAGAGGCGCGGAACTTCCCACCTCTGCAGTCCCACCGCAGCAGCCACGGATGTGAGGCGCACCAGGGAACGCCCCAGAAACGTGTCTGCTGAGAGCGCAGTGATGAAACAGTCATCCAGCCCCATCCCAGGGAGGCCAAAAATCATGTCTGAGAGTAGAAGCCTTGAGGTGACTCCCAGCCCTGGCAGAGTGGGGACTGGCCGAGCACCTGCTTAGGCTGATGCGTAGGTCACAAGTGTAGCATGTGCACATGCACGCGCGTGTGCACACACACGTGTGCTGTGTACACAGAGGTCTGGCAAGTCATTCTCCAAGCAGTAATGAGTTCCGGGTTGTGAAATCACAGGAATTTTTTGCTTCTTAGCATTTTACCGTATCTCCTATACTTCTTTCAATGAACTTTCGTCAGAATAGGGTCTGTAAACAAACATCGTGGCGTTAACAAGGCCCTGCCTCTCAGCACACCTGGACGTGCCTCTCTCCACCACAGGTCGACAGTGTGGAGGGCAGGCCCTGTGGCTGCTCCCGAGCCTCTGCTGATGACCAACAGTCCCCTGGGTGTGGAAAGGCACCCAAAGCCCTCACTCCACCACTTAGGGCAGCTTCCTCCACCCCAGCAGTTGCCAGGGTGCCTAGGCTGGGGTCCTGCCTGCCAGTGCCATCATGCCAGCAGGAGGCCAGCCCCCTCCCATCAGAGGCAGCGTTCAAGCTAGCTGGGGGTGTCCCCCATGGTCATCACCGTTTCTCTCAAGTCACTGTTTTAAATCCGAGGCACAGCCAAGGCCCCAGCCGACCGACTCTCCTTCAGTTGGCCAGCGTCAGGGGCAGAGGTCAGGCTCCTCCTAAATGAGCTTCCCAAGCGGTTTGCTGCCACCTAAGAAAAGCAGGCTCCCAGCTGCCTTGGGGACACCTGCAGTGACCCCACTCTTGGGATAAGCTCTGCTCCAGGCAGGTGACAAGGGAACCCCAGACATGGAAGCCTGTGATGGCCTCAGGGTCATGCAGTGACCCTGCCTTGGATCAGGTCTACACCTGAGCATCTGGAGATGCTGCGACTTCTCACGGCACAGCGCGTGATTGCCCCTGTGAGCCCTCTCAGTGCCACTCCCACCCCTACAACCTGGGCCTAGGGGAGCTCGCCAGGCCAGACCTGGCACCAGCTGTGCTCTGCAGGGCTCACTCTGTCACCCTGGCCTCTCCACGTCTGTGGCACCTCTTGCCTGGCTTCCGTGGGGAGCTCAGCCGGCTCTTCACAGGTCTGCTCACACGTGGCTGCCTCCCTCGCCAGCTGCGTGCCCTCTGTCGCTGCCTGCACCCTCCCTTTCTTTGGTCTCGCCTATCAGGCTGGGATTTCCTTAAAAGCAGGAAGACCAAGTGGTGCAGGAGAAAGAGGACGGCCTGTGCCAGATCCTGGCTTCACCCCACCAACAGAAGGCACTCTGGGCTGGCTTCCGCCTGTGAGCGGTCCATGAGGGCAGAGCACCTGCACAGGGCCTGGCGCCAGGTGTCATCCCCCTTTACCCCCACTGCCTCTGCCCAGGGACGAGCCCTGCCCTGGTGGCCCCCAGCCTGGTACTGCGTCTGGAGGAGGGTGAACCACGCCCACTCAGCCTGCTCTGTCCCAGGACGTGTGATTTGCGCGTTGGAAATTATGTGCTCCATGAGCCCAAGGCTGCAGGGCTGGGCAGGCAGCCTGGGACTTGAACTGCCACTGTCTGGAAGTCCCAACCCAAGGGCTGGCCATGTAGTCCTTGATCAGCGTGCTCTAGAAACCACAGGGCAATGTGGGAGGAGAGAGGAAACCGGCGCCAGGGAGTGAGCATGTGCGTGGAACCGTGCACAGAGCAGGGCAGTGCACTGTTGCAGGAAGCCTGTGAGCAGGAGCCAGCCTCAATTTGGACAGGACCTAGGATAGTCCCCACAGGGCCCCTGCCAAGGCTCTCTCTAAGTAGGCTTTACTGGATATCCAAGAACTCCCCAAGTCCCAGGGTGGAACCTGATGATGGTCAACCCAGAGGCAAAGTCCAAGAGTTGGATGACCACATTGTTTCCCAGCTCAGAAACCATGGTCCCCCAGGGCCCGCCCCAGAGCTCCCCATCACAGACAGTGGGCTGGGCACAGCTGGAAACCTCAGAGGGATGGGCGAGGGAGAGTGTACCAGGTACAGGAACATGTGCAAAGGCCCTGCGGTGTGTGTGTGAGGCTGTGTTAGGGAGGGGAGAGACAAACTCCGGTGTTACTAGGGAAGTGCAGGAAGGTCTGAGTGGCCAGAAACGGAGAGTGGAGGAGAGGGGCCTCCGGTGAGAGGAAGGGGTGGGGCAGACCAGAAGCCCGCCCTGGGGCCTTGGTCTTGACTGAAGATAGACAAGAAGGCACTGAAGGCTGGGCGCAGTGGCTCACGCCTGTAATCCTAGCACTCTGGGAGGCCGAGGCAGGAGGATTGCTCGAGGTCAGGAGTTCGAAACCAGCCTGAGCAAGAGTGAGACCCCCGTCTCTACTATAAATTGAAAGAAATTAATTGGCCAACTAATGTATATAGAAAAAATTAGGCGGGCATGGTGGCGCATGCCTGTAGTCCCAGGGAGGCTGAGGCAGGAGGATCGCTTGAGCCCAGGAGTTTGAGGTTGCTGTGAGCTAGGCTGACGCCACGGCACTCACTCTAGCCTGGGCAACAAAGCGGGATTCTATCTCAAAAAAAAAAAAGAAGCCACTGAAAAGTTTACACACTGCGACGGTATGTGGTTGTCCGTGCAGGTCTGTGTACAGGCGTGTGTGTGCACAGGTCCCTGTGCATGTCTTTGAGAGTAAGGACACATATGTATCTCTTGTGCTTGCATGTGTGCACCTCTGTTCACATGCATGCACAGCTCCATGCACATGTCTGTGAGCAGGCCCATGCCTGTGTGCGCATGTGGTTGTGAGTGCAGACCCACCTGAATGTGTCCACGTGCAGCTGCATGTGTACTGGTGCATGTGAGCGTCTGCGTGTGGTTGCATGTGGCGTCCCAGGAGCAGAGGTGCCTGTGGAAGGAGCGATTGGCTGTGGTGTGGAGCCTGGCCAAGGTGCCTGGGGCTGAGGGCAGCTGAGTCAGGGCTCCCTGGTACCCCACACCTACTCACTGAACCGTGGCTTTGAGCTGTGGCTTGGGAGGGGCCTTGCGGAATGAGGCAGAGACCCAGTCCCTGCGCTTGCTCAGGCAGGAGGGCGGAAGCCAGATCACAGACAGTAAATAAACGGCGAGTCAGAGAAGGTGCCTGCTCTGAGGTGGAAATGGAGCTCCTGCCGGGCTGCAAGTCTGTGCAGGTGGTGGGGCCGGCTTGATCCGTGGAGACGAGGACAGGTGGTGACAGAGCAGGTGGACCAGTGCAAAGGCCCTGAGGTGGGAACACGCATGGCCCATCTGGGGGATGGGATGGAGGCTGTGTGGCTGGTGCCAAAAGTAAGGGTAGGAGGTCGCTGAAAGGGCAAGTTGGGAGCCAGCCAGGGTTTGGGCCAGCAGCACCGTTTCTTGCCCTAAGTGTCACCAGTGTCCCTTTGGCTGCCGGCGGAGGCCAGGCCAGGGGAGGCTCCTGCATGCAGACATCCAAGGGAGAGGGGGCAACTCAGGCGAGGGCTGGGGGAGGCAGACATGGCGGGGGCTCTAAGAGACAAGTGAACTGTAATGGGCAGGACCTGGTGCTGGAGTGGCGGCCTGTGGGAGCAGGGGGGTGTTCAGGGCATCCCGGGTCCTGGCAAGCAGGCTGGGAGCAGGGCCTGCTCCGAGACGCGGTAGGCACGGGAAGAGCTGTCTGCTGTCCCTGTTGTGCAGGGCCTTGCTGTGCCCATGGCAGGGCTCAATACAGGTGTGTGGACTGCATCAGGGAGCAGCTGCCAGCCCTTGTCCCCCCACCCACATGTGGCACACAGCACATGACAAATTCACCAGGAGGCGGCTTGTGACTCGGTGCAGCCCAGGGCCAGGGGCCCACAGGCTGGGCTCAGGCCAGAGTATGCAGCCACCTGCCTCCTCCCAGCGGTCTCAGGAAACAGCTCCTCTCGATGAGCTCCATCCCAGCCCCTAGTGGGCCTCCCTGATGCACCTCCCGGCCCGCCGCCTGGCAGGCCTGGCCTACACCAGCTCCCCACTGCCCGTTCCCCCAGAAGGTGACAGCCAAGGGCAGGGGGACACGCTCATGAAGGGACTGTGTGGCCACCTCTCTCAGGGTTTTGTATCCTGGACACCCTCCATGCCAGGAGCCACTGCCCTGCCAGGTGCAATCCCTGGAGGCTAAGCCCGCATGCGGCACAGAGCTCAGGCACCCCAGTGCCCATGCTGGCCTGAGCTCACCAGGGCCCTCACCTGCCCTGGTGCCTCCCACCCTTTCCCCAACAAGCCTCACCCAGGGCTTCCTCCACAAATGCCAGCACGCAGAGTCAGCACCTCTACCCCACCCCAGCAGGGGAAGACAGCCCACAGCCAAGGTCACCGAAGGTGTCACTGCCCAAGCCGGGCTAAGCCAGGGGAACGCTGGGATAGGAAGACTTATCAGCTTATGGGCCAAGCTCTCTCAACACCGTGCCCCACCTCCCGGGAGACAGCGCCCAGCCTCTCACTGCCAGACCCCTAGCTGCCTGCCTCTGTCCCACCTCATAGGAAGGCCTGCCCCATGCTGAGCCAGGGCCACCAGAAAGGGTGAGCCAGGATGGTGTGAGGGTTCAACATGTGGACTCTGGGCTCGCTGAGATGACAGACTGTACCCAGACTGTGGGTGGGTGGAGAGGCAGAGTCATGTCTCAGGTCCGAGCAGAGGCCACACAGATGGCCAACCCTGCTGGGGATGGAGGAAGGGCCCCACGAGGTGGCAGGCAGCCCAGGCCACAGGGCCAGCAAGGCAAAGCAAGGCTGTGCTCCCAGTGCACTTTCAGGCTCCCAGGCCTCCCCAGAAATGACACACCCTGAACCCTCAAGGCTCCTGGCCATCGCTCACCCTAGCCTGAGGCCTTGGATCTGCAGCATGGCGGTCAGCAGGGAATGCAGTACCAGGCCCCGGGGGGGCAGCAGGAGTCACAACCCACCTCGGACCATCCATCAGGCCTGCTCCACCCTGCCAGCAGCCCCGGGCTGCCGCTCACCCCGCCCCAGAGTCCCCTATGGAGGCTGAGCCACCCAGCGTGGCCCGAGCAGGGCTGTGACTCAGCACTGCCCACCCCACCACGGCTTGCTCAGACGCCTTCTGCCCTGGCAGCAGTGGCCCTTGCACCTGCCAGCTCCACCCCGGCACCCAGCAGCTGCTCCGTAGTGACCTGGGGAGGAGCAGGCGGGCCAGCGGCAGACCCTCATTATCACTGTGCCTGTGACCACAGGCTCTTCCTCACATGAGGACACGGGACAGGGCAGGGAGGCCTCAGCTCCCTGGCCAGCCAGCCCGTCCCAGGAATTGTGTTTAGGGTGCCCTGAGCCCACACCTGGGGCACATGGGCAGTTCACACTTGACTCTGCTGCTGGCTGGGGCGCCCCACTTGAGGGTCAGCAGGTGCGTCCCAGGCCCGCGTGGGCGCTTGCAGCCCATGCTCAGCCACAGCATTTCTATCTTCTTTTAAAGACAGGGTCCTATCCCCCACCCTCTGGAACTGCTGTCCCCACGTCAGCTCCCACTGTGGCTCTATTTTAGAAACCGAAGGTCCGGAAAAGCCTGTGCCTGTGGCCACCACTGATTATCAGCCTGTCCCCTCTTACCAAGGACACGTTTTCCACTGCCCTTTCACGCCTCGCTGGCTGGAAGCGAGTTTGCTTTCAGCTGACGTCTTGCCTGCTCCTTTCCTGCCCAAGCGTCCGTCCCTCATTAGGTTTTCCCAGAGCTGGCCTGGGCCCTCAGGGGCCGGCCTGGCAGCAGCTCCTCTGTGGTCTCCAAGGAGCCAGCTGTCCTTCCTGCTGCCCAGTTTTTCTGTCCGTTCTGACTAAATTCTCTCCTCTGTTACACCCAACCTCCACCCCGTATGAAGTGCTGTGCAGACGCTGCAGCCCATGCCTGTGCATCTCTCCCTCTCCGGTGTCCCGCCTCGCATACGTCGCCCTAATGGTCTGGTCACTGTCCCGGCCCCACTCGCCATGGAACCGTTCCCAGCGCGTCCATGGAAGATCAGAGGCGGCTGTGGGCCCGGCCCCAGGGAGTGGCTGTCCCAGGGAGCTGGGCGTGGTGGGGTTGGGTGGCTTTGGGTCTGGCTGGGCCTGGGCAGGGGCTCCTCGTCTATAGGTCTGTATTGCGCCTCCTCGGAGGAGGGGAGTGACCGCAGGAGACCTGGCCTAGAGGCCTATGGCTGGAGACGGTGGGGGCTGCTGCACCTCCATCCCACCCGTCTGCGGCACTGCTGGGGCGAGTGCCTGGACCACACATGTCATCTCCTAAGAGAAGGTGGGAGGGGGCCCTGGCTCTGTGGATGTAGAAACCAAGGTGTAAAGACGGGAGGAGACCTTCTTGGGGCTGCCCGCTGGGAGTCTGCAGGGCTCGGCTCCCACTACACCCTCTGACCCCTGAGTAAGCCCAGACCTGGCCACATCTGGGTATCACCTGCTGTTATTTACTTGTTTTTCCTTATGTTGACTCACCCTTTTAACTTAAACAGATGTAGTTTAAAAAGAACTTCGCATCTTTACTTTAAATGGAGAGCCAGAGTTGCTCACCATAGACAGAAATAATCTAAAATCTGAAACAGTGTAAAGGAACTGCTCTTGCAGTTCTGGAGACCAGAGTCCAGGGAGGGGCCAGGCAAGGCCGCCTGCTGTTGGGTGAACAGCAGGGATTAGTACCTGCTAGACGGTTTGAGAGCCACGCTGGGATTTTCTCCTTGAAGGAAAAGGATTGAGAGAGAAATAAAAAAGGATTACCTTCTTCATAAGAAGGGTTAGTGCTGCTCACAGCTGTGGCCTCAGGCCACCTCGTATGGTCTGGTGGCCATGCAGCCCCCTGTTCCATCCCCACTGTCCGCTAGGGATGCAGGTGGAGCACAGGGAGTGGGGATGGCGGGGTGAAGGCAATGGTGCCAGCATAAGGGCTCTTGAGCTATGGTGGCCACACTGCACCCCTCGCCCTCAGCCCAGAGGCCATCTCATCTCAAAAAAGCGGGTCACCGCGCCCCAGCCCCGTTCTATTTGCCTGTTCAGCAGAGCGCCCTCCACTGCTTCTCTCGTTGCTCCTGTATCACCCAGCGCCTGTGCCTGAGCCGGAGGCCCTGTCCCCTCAGATCCGTCACTCAACCTCCCTGATCAATGCTGCGCCCTCTCAGAACGGAGCCTCAGTGGGTGTGGCCCTGCTCGGGATGAGGGGGCCTCGGTGGGGAACGAGCTGAGTCTGCGTGTCAAGGAGCTCATATTCTCATCGGGGAGCAAACAACGCAGCCAGGTAGAATGGCACTGCTGAGGAACCACTGAGCACACTGGGGCCGGGTCATTCCCAAGGCGACCCACCAGACAGAGTGGGCAGGCGTTCTGTACACTTCCGGCGGGCTCGGTGCAACCTGGGGGGAAGCTGGCTGGAAACCAAGGCTGCCTCTCTGAGTGGGTGGTCCAGCCAGAGAGCTGCTCCCCAAAAGCTTGAGGGTTCCGGATGAGGCTCCACACCCGGGGCAGGCGGCCAGCGGGGACGCAGGACAGGACGGCAGCCGGCACAGCCGCCTGGAGCAGCAGTCTCGCACGCCGTGGGAGGAGCACTTCTCCAGCACCTGGGTGCGCGTTGGCAGGGCTGACCAGTGTGCCGGGGGAGTGGGCCAGGTCGGCTCCACACCGAGGCTCGTCTGGGAGGGCGGGGACCTGCGTTACCTGCCTTGCCAGCAGGGTACGCCTTGTGACGGCTCCCTGTCCAGCTCCCCCCGGCGTGGTGAAGGGCAGGGCTGTGGCTCTCAAGGCCTCCCAGGGCAAGTGCTCAGGGTGAAGACACACCCACATCTACGCACTGCACTAGGGCACCCCAGCGCCTCTTCATCCCACCCAGCATGGCCCAGGAAAGGATGTGATGGTTTCAGGCTTTTGATACGACACCACATACAGGTGCTCCTGGACTCATGATAGGTCACATCCCAATAAACCTACTGTGAATTGACAATATCGTTAAGTTGAAATGCATTCACTACACCTACCCTAATGAACATCATAGCTGAGCCTAGCCCACGTTAAATGTGCTCCGATCACTCACAACAGCCACAGTTGGGCAGAAGCATCTGACACATGTCTCATAGAGCTCATGGAAAACTGTCCTGACAGTTAGAAACAGAATGGTTGGATGGGGACTGTAAGTTGGGGTCTGTCTGTATTTTTGGGCTAAAAAGCCACATCTTCTCGAGGACCTAAAACTCCTGCTTGCCTTGACCCGAGTGACACAACCTGGGGCAGGGACAGACAGGAACTGGACCCCCCACAGTGCCTGGCCCCACCCTACCTGGCTGACAGTGCGGTCTTGAAACCTAGGGAGAGACTCCTTCCCCACCAGGACCCCCTACCACCACCAAGTGTCCTGTGTGCCGGCCTAGCAGTGGGACCAGACCTCCCCCAGGAATAGAGGGGCAGGCCGTCCACAGACTGGCCCTGCCTTGGCCTCGGCCTCGGCACAGGGCTGCTGGCCCCTTCTGCCCTCGCCTCCCCTGATCCCCCCTTGGGCTGGGCTGGGCTTCTGCTCCACCTCCTCCCCCAGTTGCCAGCTCTGCTTCCCTCGAAGCAGGTGCTCTGTGAAAGATTTGCAGAGCAGATGGATGGGTAGATGGATGAACACCAAAAAATATTTGTACAGGGCTCAGAAGCTTCTCCAGCACTCCCTCTTGAGTACGTTACCTAACACGACCTTTCCTGGGAGCCCACAGAGGGGTCCCACTGCAGTCCACACGGGGGCTGAGGGCTCGAGGTCTCTATTGACCAACAGCCTGGTCTGGAGCCCTTGACACCCTGAGACGTGGGGCTTGGCTCTGCTGGGTTCCCCTGGGCCCCTGTGTGGTGCCTCCCCGACACCCTGGGCCTCCCACACCCTCTCGCTCCCGCTGTCCACAGCCCCTCCAGTGCACATCTCACCTGCCCTCCTCAGATCGCAGGCCATCCCTAGGGACCCCAGCCTCTCGTGTTTCCAGGTCCTTCTGTGTGTTGCCAGCGCCCTCCTCTTGGAACTTTCCTGCCCACCCTCCTCTCTCATTCTCTCACCCCCTCTGGGGCCTCCTGTCCTGCGTCCCCACCTGCCCACTCCCATCCCAGCCAACTCTGCGCGCCTGGCTTGAAAGGCAATCCTGACCACTTCTCGCCTTGCTGAAGTGACATGGGAGCCTGGGCCCAGCCAGCCTGGTCCTCACGCCCTTCCCCCACAGCCCCTCATGCCCTGGACTTCCCCCAGAGGTGGGCTGGGCCTCCAAGGACCCTTTGTCTCCCTAGTCCTGAGTCAAGGGGATTCCAGGGTGGCCTGTCCCAGGAGCTCTGCAATGTCCTCCAGCAGCCGCCTCCCCACCCTCGGCCTCAGTGGCCTTGACTTTGCTGTAAACCCACTCTACCTTTTCAGGTAGAATAACCTTCCCTGTGTAAAACAACATCATCAGCAACAAATCACAACAGAAAAGACCAACCCGTAGATTCCAAAATGATTACAAATGTGTTTCTAATATCCATTAGTGACCAAAAGTTACAATCAAACTTGAGACTGCTGGCTGGCTGGTTGCTGATTGGTCTACTCAAAGTGAGTTAAAGTAGGGATTCCTAAGAAATAAAAAATACTTTTTACCTAAGACAGATAAACGTACATTGACATGCCAATCTTTGGAGAGGGTTATAACCTTTTTCTGGAGCCCAGGTTCTCATTCCGGACTTGTTGGCACTGTTCTTGCTTAAACCATAGTACTCTTGGGTGGCATCTACTTTACTTTCTGCAACTCGAGTGAGGTGGCAAGGTAACCAAAATCCAAACCCTAGGTGGTTGCAACTCCCTGTCCCCAAACTTATGGTTGTCTTGTCCACACCAAACCTGACCACGACTTCTATTGAGGGTATAGTGGCATAAACAAGTTTGGGA